CAAATGTCCATCGATGTGGATTTGCATAACTTACAAAATACATTAGAGGATTTCGGGAGAAACTAATTTTGATAGAAATAAATAACGTATTTATTTTCAAATGAGTAATGCGTAAACTTTAATTCATTTCCGATAAATTTGAAATGATAATTTTTGTCGTTAAAAAGTCTATTTATTTCGTTTATTGGGAATCTCTAAACACTCCTATTTCATTTTCTGATTTCAAAATTTTGATACACAAATAAAATTTTTTAAGCCTCCACTTATTTCCAAAATACACTATTTTTTTTAATTCTGAACCTCCCAATTATTGAAATACGTATCTGATATCATTATCGTTATTGTTATGATTTTCTCTCGCTTTTCAAATTAGTGTGTCCTTCAATTTTTTTATGCATCATTGACTAGAATTATTCGCACCAAATTATATGTCACTTTATTCTTAAAAAGTTGGAGTTAGTGTCAGAATCAATGGATGATATTATACCAAAATCTTGCAAGGAATTTTTTTCGTTAGTATGCAAAAGGCAATTTCTTAAGCAATATTTTGAAATATATGAGGTTTTTAAAAATAAACGATTGTTTTTTTTTTAATTTTGATCCGCCTGATCTTGGTCACGTTATTACAGTATTAAAGATCGTCGATTTTATCCAATCAGAAATGCGATTTACGAACTGGAAATCGGAAATTTAGAATTTAATATCAAACTATGTGCTTATGATTGGTTTAATTATATACCCAGTTATTATTATTACATTATCATCGCCCTAAAGGTTTGTTACTTAATTTTTTAATTTGTATTAAAATAAATTTAGTGAACGGTGTTATAAGTAATAATTTTTTCATGAATGTTGTACTAATTTGCAAAACATTAGAGGCTGAAAGAGTCGCAGTTATTTTATTTAAAATCAAAGAAAATAAATCATTATGGTAAATAATATAACCATGATTTATGAAATCTTATAAAGGCAGATCGATATTCAAATTCGAAAAGTAATTTATAAGTTTTAGTTTGAAGTATTTATTTTGTGTATAATATTACAAATAAATTACCTTCCCTATTTTATAATAAATTTATGTAAAAAAATAAATAAATTAAAAAAAATAAAACAAATATAAATTCAATTAACTTAATTAGAAATATATTACAAGCTTATAAAAAAAGTTATGGAGACGAAATCGCGATCACGAAGTGTATAAAATCTAATATTCGATTGGTCAGCGTAATCATATCTGTCACATATTTCCAGATTTTCACATACATATGAACTATTGCCGCACGGTCACATTTTTTTCTATGATAATCGTCTCTAAAGGGTCATTTAATTGCTCCCACAAATTCATATATTCCCGTGATCGTGATGGATCATGAAGCGGATTTTACAGAATTATATACATATTGATCGTGTATTAAAAGATGTACTTGCTGTGGTTTGTATCTTGTGAGGAAATTCATATCATTCATCTATACTACGTAACGAACCTAGCAGCTTATGCCTACTTTTTTAGGACACCACCTTTCTAAAGTTTCTAGTCTATCGACCTTTCCTAACAATATTCATATTACTCTATTAGTGGGTTTCAAACTTCGCACTCAATTATCTTCTAAGATTCAGATTTCAACCTTAGGTAAGTATCGTTTCATACACATTTTCCACTTTCGAATCTATTCAAGCACTATTCTTATTCACCTAATCAATTCGTATTATAATTTATTATGTTACGGCACCATAAAAAGTATATATTTATCCCTGGCATCAATGTTAAACCCCATTACTGATGACTGATGACTGATGATATTATTTTTGTAATGACAACCATTTTTTTTAATTCCATTCAGTATAAAAAAAAGGATGTCCACAAAGTTAATATCATATGAAAACTAATTCTTCGCTTACATTACCATTACAAGGAAAACGAGGCTAGTAATACTTTTTATCTGTTTGACCAATCGGACACTTCCGGAAAATAATGTTTTCTCAGGTGATGTGAGTAATATGTTATAAAATAAATAAATAATATAATGCAATGAAAAAAAATTAACGTAATAGACTGATTGCGAAAGAAAATGATAGTCATATACTTCATCAATCGTCGTAGGTTTTGCCATTCATCAATTTATCAGTAAGAAATTGCTTGACGAAACTTTTCATTGTTCGTCAGGTATCATTAAGCCACGTTTCTGTTTTCAGCACGACTACTTCGCGCCACTACCTAATGGCTTAGTGGAGTAAGTAACACCCAATTAGTCGGCATAATCATGGTTATCACATTTTACTTATTCTCATTGTCTTTCCATAAAAGAGTCAAATAATTTACAATAAATCACATTTTACTTATTCTCTTTGTCTTTCCATAAAAGAGTCAAATAATTTACAATAAATCACATGCCCAATTTTACCTACTAATTTCTAACAAATATTGGTATTAATCACTTGAAAAATAACAGATAAAATATTGCATTAATAATATCTCTTACTCATAAAAATCATCATGAAAATCACTTTAATTAGATAAAGAGCAGGAATAACTAATATCAATCATAATTCTGCAATACTTTATTGATAAATCATATTTGCATATGTACATAGCTAAGGTTTTTGTAAAGTTCATTCGACAATCTACCTATATCCAATGCCTACTTTATATCAGGCTAACCTTAAATCCTTCCAACTTAATCACCAAAATGACTGTCGGCAAAATAGTTTACGAAATTTGTCTTACTATAATAAAAATGACCCAATTTACAAAATACTAAATTTATTCACTTATCTGAAAGTAAAGCATCCCGTTCCTTGTTTTAGTGCAACATCACACAGCTGTCTAATATATTGCACTACTTGTAGTATGCATAAAATTCAATCTATTAATAAATTGGTTAGTAGATCTCAATTAGAAAACTGTTTAACCATCCATTATAGCAACTGTCGTTTATGTGAGCATGCCACAATATTAATAATGACAATGCAAGGGCATTATTTTGACTTCCAGTAATATTAAAGGTAATATATGGGCTCAAATAGATAAGAGCAACGTATATGGTAATAATTTTATAATTTTAATTATTAAAACGCATATCAAAAATAGATTTTATTTAAGAAACAGAATTTACTTATTATTATTTTATTACTTGCGAACAATTGCGATTATACATCTTATAAGAACAAAGGGCGTTTGATATGATCTATTGCGTTATTTATCTATTCAACACTCATTTATCACATAATTTTACGTTTACATGATAAATATACTGCTCAATTCTATCTATTGACCATTTACAAGATCTCAACCAGCTATTCCTCAACTTATTATTCTATATAATAAACTAGTACTACACAAAAAATAGTCACTCTTGACACAATGCATAAAATAGTATTGAAGAAAATAAAAAGAAAGTAATAAAAAACATATTAATATTAAATAAAAAAAGTACAAATAATATCATATAAAAATGCTAATCTAAAAAAAAAAATTTGTACGACCCAACATTAGCCTATTAATATTTTGTTAGAAGATAAAAATCTAACATAATTTTGAACCACATTATTTACTATGATGATAGAATAAGACTAATGAGGAAAATATTGTGCTGTAAATATGACCTTCTGAACAGTCAGATCCGCCTAATAATATGAACATAAATTAATAAAAAGTGACAATTATTATATACATTTATCCTAAATATTAATTTTACTTACATTTCACATTTGATGGAACAACTCCGCCGCAAGTATTGACACGAACGAGAAAGGTAATATCTTCGAACGCTTCTTCTCCTTCATTATCCTGTTAGTTGGACGGTACATGTTAGTTATGAATATTAAATTATTTTTAGTAAAGTTACTTAATAAACTACAATAATTACGCTAGCTTTTCCAAGTGCCCAAGGAAGATCTTTCGAATCATGTGTCGGATGTTCAGCAACAGTAGTTACAACCAATGATGAATTATCTTTTGGAATAATCGATCTAATACCCGAACCTAAATAAGAACAATAAAATTCTTCGTTTAATGTTATATCAATACACATATACTGTTTATAACCAATAAGAAAAATGTATGGAATAATTTAGAATTATGGATCAAAACTATAATTTTGAAATTCTTAATTGTAAAAACTATAATTTTAATTCTGACCAAATATCATAATCTTAACAATTCCAAGAACTAAATTAATAAAGTGAATCAATAATTAGACAATATTGTTACATACCTGGAGCTGGGACATTGAATGTAGAAGCCACGGCTGAGCATGGATAGGAAGATGTATCATTTTGATCATTAAAATATAATAGGCGAGCTTCACCTAATAATTTAATAATATATAATACATTTTTTAAATATTATGAGCCGAAACGTGACAAAATAAGTTTGTACAACACGAATCTATATACGTACTGGGTACCCATGTATGATTGGTACATTTATACCAAAGAAATCCACTAGTGAATAAGGAAAACTTAAAGCAATTGCCTTCTGGAGGAGTGATATCTTTTGGAATATCGAGACCTTTCGGATACACTGTATTTTTTTGTCAAATAAGAATTTCGTCAAGAGTTGATTAATCAGTATTATTATTTTTGGATAAAATTTACCATAATTTCCGATTTTTGTGGGAACGTCATGGGCAAATGAACCGATTGCGCAGAGCAAAAGAATAACAAAGATCGATAAGTTTAATTTGATCATCCTGATAGGCTTCTTTTTTTCAAAATCTATATACAGATATAATGAAAAAATAAGTATCATTGACTGAATAATAAAGTTTAGATTAATGGGTATACACACCTTAAAAAGTTAGAATCTAATTTAGAGACTATAATGTTTGAGGAATGCTTGAGGGATTTAATGTTGAGAAAGTTCAAGTTTTTATATTTTAACATGAAGCACAAAAATTTTGAATTCAATAAGACGCATTTTTTGCAATCAATCCATATTACAGTCAATATTTGTAAGTATGGTAGACCATCATTAAATTTGTGTATACATTTAATCAAATTCGTGTATATTGTACAAAAATCTAAATTTGACTAAATTATAATGACTTTGTTGCCATTCGAATAGCTTCGTTGAGACAATTCGTTTTGTGTCAAATTATATAATCTAATAACTAGAATAAAAGTTATTTCAATTTGGCCAAAATCATATTTTTGTATTATATAACGAATTTGGTCGAATGCATACACGAATTTAATCTTTATGAATTTTGATTACCATGTCTGCATAACAATTAATCCTCACTATTGTTATATTACTAAATATATTCTCATTTTGAATTCATTGTTACTATTTACGGTATTTTCAAAATAAACAAAAAGTTGGAAAAAGAAAATCTTTATTACGCGCACACCAATGAATATAAAGTCTGAATTAAAATAGTCATTAAGCGAAATAATGCAAAATAATGCGAATGCACTTTATATGCTAAATTAAGCTTGATATTGAATGATATCATACTAAGGCCGTTCATCATCCCCCTCTTGGTTGGTAGGAATTAAAATCATGCGACTAAGGTTGACCAATGAGATTTGATCAAATATCCTGTTTTGTTTAAATTTCCCCTCTCCCCTCGACATTAAACAACTAATTAACCTTGAATGGCCTAAATGTATAGTAAGTTAATCCTATTAGCTATAAATGAATACAATTTTTTTTGTTTAATAAATATGTAAATGTGAATATTCTGAATGTTGTACATGTTTATATTGACTGTTTTGACTGTACTGTTCATCCCAGTTCTTTTTTGTACTTAGCATATGCATGCTTAAATATGTTTGTAGTGCTTTTTTTCGTTAGCCTATATGAATGTCATTGCTACATCCTGTAATACTGTTGAATCCCAAAATCGATATGCACGGTGGACAGATTTTATATCAGTGTTGAAAAGATTATCTTGCAGAAACGTATTTAGTAGATGAAATCTTTATCTAACAAAACAGTTTTGGAATGTTTAAATATTCCTTTACATCAATATTAATGATCTTTCGTGGATATTTTGCTATTTTTTTCGTAAACTGTTATGATTTAAATTTTGTCCATTTATTTCTGTTACAGAATTTTAATTAAAATTTCTTATTTTAGTATTTATTTCTTTGTTCCCCAAACCACGGTCATTCACTTATGTTTATTTACTTTAAAATGATTGTTTACAATGTTGTAACTTTCTAGAAACGATGAAAATCCTTACCCAGGTTATCCACCCGCTCTCGGGTACATCTATTTACCTAGATGTTCGACCAATCAAAATTAATCACAGGTTACATACGTACATGTAAACCAGTACACAAATTTGCATCCGGAAAATGTGTACCAGGTTGATACTCCGGAAGTCACGGGTGTGATCGGATTCCGATGTGATTTTAAATA